TAGATAGATAGATAGATAGATAGATAGATAGATAGATAGATAGATAGATAGATAGATAGATAGGACAGGAAATGTGTTTAAGTGCATGTGTGTGAACAGTTTGTGAAAGGGGGAGTGGCTTCTGGCAGAGTGTTCCCTTCTGTTTTCCAGTCTTTTTTACTAGGCTGAAAAACAGTCCATTGACACAAGACGCATGCGCCTGGAGACTTAAATCCTGAATCACTGCACCAGAAAAACATGGATTTGCTGGAGGCAATACTCACCTTGCTGGGTGCAACAGTTCTTGTCTATTACGGAGGAAAGTTTGTGCTCTTTAGTCGGATGTTTTTTCCTAAATGGTGTTTTCCTCTGTCAAAAACTTTCTTCACCTCTATGGGAGAATGGGCAGGTGAGAAAGTTTTCCCCACATTATGACAAGTATGTCTTGTATATCTGAATGCAATTACATGGATTAATGAGCAGTGTGGTGCATGTGAGTCTGAATATGATCATCAAAGCACTGTGTTTGAGGTCACCCAGGATTGTGAGGTTGGTAGCAAAATATTTGCAGTAAGAGGCCCATTAGGGCTTGTTTATACCTTTCACTTTCATGCAGGACGGTACTTGTGCAATGTCGAACGTTGAGATGCATGTCCTGACTCTGCTTCAACAGTCTTTTTATAAATACCTGAATAGCAGCTTTTCACGTTTGCATAAATCAATTTCTAACAAAGGATTTTATTGTAGTTTGCAAATATGTTGTATTACCTAGCTTAAACATGTAACCTAAAAAGTTCCTGTAATTTCACATTTACTGAGCAAAAAAATATCATTATAACTGAGTCATTTTATCACTCAGCCCTCAATTACCATTGAAATCCCTCTGCTAATCCTAGAGCAGCTGAACAACATTGAGTGATTTACTTTGGCAGCTTCTGAAGTGTTTATTCAGATTCCCACAGAGCAAGAGGAAGCCTTGTGAAAGACACAGAATGCTGGGATTATTTGCCTTCCTAAAGAACAATATCATTCCATTCGAGCACAGAGAAAAATATCCAGGACAGTATGTTCTAGGCTGCACATACAGTACCTCTGTAATCATCCCTATCCTGACAACCTATATATGTAAGCAGAATATAAATTGCATTTCGTGGTCATTCTGGATTTTAACTTTATGCTAACTCACACGCATGTCTTTCAAACTTTCTGTGTTTTTTTTTTCTTTTCAATTTTTACGGCACTAGTGGCTCGTTTTTCTGACAGTAGGCGGACAGCAACGGGTGTGTGAGAGAGAGGGCGAGAAATGCGGCACAGGATATATATATATATAT